CTTGTTCTTGTTTGTAATTGGGCCCAAAAGAAAACTGTCTGGATTTAGTCAGCTTTAACCAACCATGACTGGAGATTTCTCAACTAAGAGCAGACTGGTGCTTTACAGACCAGGACCCCACACTGAACATACAGTAGATTTAAGAACATGAGACTGTGGTCTAGCCCACGTCTGACTAATGCCTCCACTACCGTGCATTTCTTCCCTTTTACTCAGATATGCCGCTTTTCTCAGCCGCACGTTCATCTACACGTGCCTTCAAAACTCCTCCCACTTCAGGGAACTCAGCAAATATGGCTCAATTTAGATGAAAAAGCCAACGTACAGCAAGGCCCTTTAATATGACTCACATCTCACCACATCTGCTTCACTGGCCCCTCAGTTTGCACGACTGAGGGACTGACTGAGGAAGACACACATTCTCTTTGTGTTAACATCTGTTGCTGTGTTTGTAGTTATGTTTTATATCTGGATTGTACATTATCAGGAAAATAAAAATTAAAACAGAGCCTATAAAAAGAACATTACAGTCGTAAGTAACCAGTAGACCAGACTTTACCTGACCTCTGACCTGCCGCTGATCTTTATTGATCTGTATGGATTTAACAAAACGATAGAAACATGAGACCATGTCATGTCTCACAGTCTCTTTATCTATTTATTAAAATGAATATAATATTGAATTGACAATCTAATGACTACTGCTTAACGTCCAGGTTTTTTGCTTTTCAAATTGTTTTTTTTGCGTTCTGGGTCTGACTCTGTTCCATATGTAGAGCCGTCTTCAGATTTTTCCCTTGCAGAAAAGGTGGGCAGTGCAAGCAGTGATTTATTACTATTTAAACTCAAAAACCAATAGTTTTGAACGGGGCTGTAAAGAATGTGCAGCTGTGCTCAACGGTCTCTTGAACTAAGCTAGCAGATATTTGCATTTATATGCTGTCATGTCCTTGAGAAATGAGGGAACCACAGAAGCATATTGCTTTGGCATATCTCCAGTGGACTAACAAAAGAATGACATCCCAGTCTGTGGCAGTTATAAGTTGTAATTTAGATAAAATTCTGTGATTTAGATCAAATCAACAGGATATGTGTTAAGTGCAGTTCAGATGCTATTATTTATGGGTGATACTGAACTTATTCAACTAGCAGGAAAATCAAATACCATACCTTTTTAAGGAATGTGCATAATATTTCACATGTAGTGTCAGAAATGGTCTGGACACTAAGCAGACAGGAGAAGGCTGCAGGGAAATTCAGCTGCTGAACATCTGTATCTGTCTGCTACTCTGACCACAAAAGAGGCAGAGAGTCATCCTGATATGAGTCAACCTTTTCTCCCTTCGATCATTCTCCTCCCTAAAGCCTCTTGCATACATCGTGTCCAATGCTAATCCAACTTTGTCTCAGGTTCCGTGTTGCTGGGTAGCACAGAATGTGGGGAAGTGAAAACCTTGTAAGGTGACACCATCCCACCTCGTAAAGACCCGCAGCCTTTCACTTGCAAAGAATCAAAAGCTTCTTCACTGCATATTGTGTTGTTACAAGTGGCCTTTGATGTGTCTGTGTTGATTTAGCATCTCAAGTGTTTAGTAGAAGTAAACACTGAATGCTCTGGTGGGGGAACAACAGCTGCCTTTTGTGGCGATGTTTTTCCATGCCTTTTTCAAATCTGTTTATAATGATGCACGAGGCTGTGCATGCAGCAGTGGGCGAGCTCTTGGTAACATTTCTTACTTATACTGGCTTAAGAAGAAATACCAAAATGTGAGCACAATTGAGTGAAGACTTATGTGAGCTCCCACTGAAAGTTTCTCCTCGGCAGGGGAACACGCAACAATGACACAAGTACCCGGCCTTGCCACGTTTTTGCAAAACAGTCAACAATAAAAACATAATGTGAGAAAAATTCCGGCCAAAAACATTTCATTATGCTCTAATTTGACACAAGGAACACATCTGTCTAGTCTTTACGAAAAAAGATACCTGTCACCAATTAACTGAAATTTTAAAAGTTACTGTCTCAACCTCAGTGTCTTTGTACCACTAAGTGGAAAGGAAAACCATCAGATTTGGTGGCTGGGGTGAAACCTGCCTTTTGCCTAATATCATCTTGGATTAGTTAAAATCCACTTGCGACAATGAAAAGACAAATGATAAATTACTGGATTATTTGTATTCATTTATTTTGTTTTGTTTTTCTCAACTCTTTCACACTAATATAAATCATAGAATATTGGATAGATTTGAAAATCAGCCTATTATTAAAATGTCATGACTAATCAATAGATACCTGAGTGGAAGCCAAAAGTTACCACACATATTTTCTGGCTCAACAAATTTTTTTTCTTTTTTACACAATTTCACCTAAGCCTATTAATTTCCAGCGAGTTCACAGCTGAGGGATTCAACTGATGATCCGTCTTGTGGCCCCTGAGCCCTAACTTTACACATAAAAACATTTTCATTTGTCCTTAACAAATCTTGATCCCTACTAAAACTTCTTTAGTGCTTTTGCCAATAGGTACCACTACAAATATAGACACAAATGCACGACACACGTGCCTTCTCTATCACAGCCATTCAAACACAGCCAAAGCAATTAGCCCAACAGCATCCCACCCGGAAAACACTGGCAAAGGATCAGTGTGACTTAACGAGCGTCTAGAAAATTTGTTGTGTTCATAGAGTAACACCTCTTTGATTGACTGGGCTTTCGAAATACTAGACATGCAGCCAGTTCCAGAGGAAGTGGCTGTTTTCATTAATGACAGACTGATGTTATCTACAGACTATCATTTGCGGTCCAAAGTGATCTTGCCAGAGTGAGCAGCTAAGGTCTTATCTTCACATATTCCCACACACTGTAAAGCAAATGCCGTGATGAGTTTTACTCAAAAACAAAATAATTACTGCTTGGAGCAACTTGGTGACCTTAACCTTTACCCTGAAACGTTTCAAACCGACTCAGCACTTAAAACGCTCATCACTGAGACTTCACCGTTGGTAGGCTGAAAAAAAAAGCTGAACTGACAAAATCAGATGATTGAATAAAATGAAAACCAAAAGGGTGCCAGTACTTTTTTGACATAACAGTCTCACACTTGGACTTTTTTTTTTTTAATGAAGTATGTGGAATAGCTTGCTGCCTTCTTGGTATTGGCCTCTATTTGGACTTTTGTCCAACCTGCGGTTAGGGTGTTACTTTTCCCGAACGAGCACAGAATCTCATTCATGTCATGAATGAACAGGTATAAGGAGCAGTGCTGCCCACCGCTGATGTCAGCCCTAGCACATTTAAAGAGGTGTAAGGGCTTGGTCAGACCGGGGAAATATTTACAGGGTGGAGGACTGAACTGCTGCAACACCCCAGGGAACATAAACACACAGGGCAAATAAGAACAGGAGGGTGCTGCCTGTTAAAACATGAAACATGGCTAGTAGTGTTCAGTGGTCAATGATTAAATGTTACAGTTTCCTCTGTGCCTTCATCTCCATGAATCGGCCATGAGTCATGGGTCATGAGAAAGACAAACATGAATTGGTCTCCTGTGGATTAATATCCAAAATATCCAAAATATATCTGATTAGAAAAAACAGAAAATGATTAAATCTACCACGCTGAATATATGAGCACTAGGGTCTGAAATCAGTAGACTGGAAATATTCAAAATTATCCTAAAATTATCTCAATGTTTAATGATTTAATGATTTGGTAAGAATATACTGTAGTTACAGTAAATACACGTTAAAATTCAACTTGCAGATGTTATAGAAAACATTTCACCATTTTAGGAATTCACGAATTGTGATGTCGCTTCAAGGTTGAGAAACGTGATCTTGTCAAAACTTTGTTGCAGTTGTCAAACTTTATTGAGCCCACACTTGTTTTAACAGTAGATCTGCTGCAAGAGGGTGGTGCCAAAAATACTGTTCCTCTGGGGCCACATACTACTTACTACTACACAAAAATCGTGTAAATAGTTTTTCATTTAGCAAATATATTCAATATATTTAGCAAATATCAAATATCAAAAGTATATAGGTATTAGTAGCATTAGTAGTATTACTAATGCTACTGATACAAAAAATAATACCTCGCTCCTTGTTTGTAAAATAAAGGATGGAGTGAATGAGTAAATTAAGTTTTTGGACTCAAAATTTTTTATCAGAAGCCTTTGTTAGCTAATAAGCTCATTTCTGGCAAATCACTGGCAAGACATTTGTTGTCTGGAGGAGTGAATTAACGGAGGTTTCCAGAGAAATGTCTGATCTCATCAGTCGGGTTATTATTAGTAAACTCCTCTGTGATCGTGCTTGCAGCATTTTGTACTCAGACAAGCTGAAGGAATGTCTTTATCTGTTGCTCTGCCTCTACTTTCACACAATCACATCCACACACACACACACACACACACACTGAGACTCCATCCTACATGGAGACATTCACTGCAGCTAGACGGATCGGTCTTTCCCCTCATCTGACCTCATCAACCAAATCTCCCTGACGGCACTGAAGGGGAGGTCGGGCAGGTCTGGTGAAGTCAGTGAGAGACAGAGAAGCTTTGGCAAAGTCATTAATACAGGGGTGGATGACTCAACCGTAGGCTGTTATTTGCTGACTAATGGATTATTTGATTGGCCTGATGTCGTGCAGATGTAATCACCTGCACGGAAAAAAACTACCTTCTTTTTTTGACCAGACATACTGATTTTTTATCCATCTGTTGTTGTCACTTACAGGAATAGTTTTTCACTCATTTATTCACATTTGTACAGCAAGTGAACAAGCTAGAGCATTGGTAAGATCAGGATGGATGCAGTCCTCCTATATGACAGCAATTGTTGAAACTATTGTACAACTACATACTGACATTGTATTTATTTCTTCTTACTGTATGGGGTTCTATGTACAAATCTATTCCCATTGACAATCCTTTAATGTGTAATAAAACAAACCTAACATTAACTTCAGACATCTCAGAATGGTGCAATCTGTTATTGTCAAATGACTTAGTCCCTAAATATTAACAGGTAGTGACTTCAGACACAGGAAGGATTTTTTTTTGGGTGCTTTCATTCATTATTAAGTCACTAAATCTGTTCCGGACCTGTGTACACACATCAAGCTCTTTAGTTGGGTCATAGTGTAAAGGTTATTAAGTGAATCCGACAAATAGAACATAAATATTCTACTGCATAACAGTATTTTGGCATCGAGTTCAGCACACTGAGCCTGATTTAACCAGTGTAAACCACAACTTTGATGGCTGTGTTTTGATGCAGCAAATTATTCTTATTGCTGTCTCATTGTTGGAGACAGACAGTCACACAGGGGATTTAGCGGGTTGAAAAAAAGGAGTACAAAGTACTTTTATCCCCAGCCCATCCTCTGTTCTTTTCAGTTTGTGAACATCTGCACGTGTGTGCATGTGAACCATGTGTGGATGTTACTTACGTGCTATCAATTATGAGACTGTGAGTGATTCCCTGTGTGATGTTAACATTTGTTAAAGCAGGGCTGAGTACATGACTGAGTATGTTTTGCACCTCGTGGACCTACCTCGTCGTTATTGGCCTGATTCCGGATGAGCTTGTAGCCTGGAATGCGCTTTTGGTTACATACCACCCCAACATCTTCAGAGTGTTTGCAGTCAGACACACCAAAACCGTTGGACTCACACTGAGCCAAGCTCTTTTCTCCACCAGTGCAGTGCACGTTGTCGAGCCAGATACGGCCTAGTGCAAACAGGGGCAGAGATGTGTGTCAGCAGGCAGAAGTTCTGTTGTTAATTCAGTAAAAAAAACAGTTAAATGAGAGGAGGATTTCTCTGATTTTCACTGATCATGAAATGTTGCATGATGGGAGAGGAAACTTTTTTTTATGTTGTTGTTGGCCCTGTTTTATGGACTCAACTACTTGATTATTTCAATGTTAACCACACTATTTGTTGTCTACACCTTTTCTGCAGATGTATTTAAAGATGCTTTTATTGGCCTGTTTTCTGTTCAAATCTTAGTACATCATTTTTTTTAACATTTACAGTGTTTGGAAGTAATATTACCATAAACCTTCACTTAATTCACATGTTTTAAATCTGGAGGGGTTTTCACGTTTGCAATTCGTCAGCCCTGAGTTCAAGCTGCAGACATCTATTCAATAATTCCCACTGGAGTCTAGTCACAGAGACAGTGAACCTACTCATGTGGAGTTGTCCCTGATCTTTGCCCCAACCTGACATGTTTTCAGCCAAATGACAGCCAAAAAAATGTTGTCACAGCTGAAGTGAATCATCTGCTGTCCAGCTGTCTGCTCTGAATCATTCTTCAGCAGTAAAGACACAACTATGGCAATTACCATGGAAACGCAGTGCTTGTCTGACAGCTTCAACACACTGCTGAGGAACATCCTAATCATACCAAGAAAGTGACTGCATGTTGTATGGTCACGTAGCATCCTCCTGGCACAGGAGGATTCTCTCCTCTGGAACATTTTTTTTAGTAAGAGCCAAGTTTCCTGGTGCTGAATCACAGCAGAAATTCCCGAGTGAGACCACTTTGGTCTCTGTTCACCTCTGGCTACAAAATATTAAGAATTATTAGGTGTAATAAATTTTAAATCCTGGTGTTAAAAGTATTATTTGTCTCACAGGGAACCCAGTCTGAAGATAGTTTGTATTTTAAATGTAGATTTTATTAGTGAATAGGTTGCTACAGTGACCGTTTATTCAATATCTCCGTAAATTTAGGATGCAGGACTGAGGTGGAACTTCATTTGTTTGGTACTGTGACTGTGCAATGAGATGACATTGAAATTAGATTAAAATAAGGACAAAAAATTAGGTATGGTAAAAAATTACTTGATTTAAAATGGACTTTGTGTAAAAGTTGCTTCATTACTTTAAATTACTTGATGCAAAGAGGTCGAGTTACACATCCAATCTACAACTAGGTGTTTTTAATTCACCTAATATGCCCTATGGTAGTGTTTACAGCAACAAGGGTTAACAACTAAAATAAAATCGGTATGCAGCTGTGTGTTATAGACAGTATTTCCATGTATATAATTCTTGAAATGTCTCTGCTGACCGTAAAGGTTTTTGTGCGAGCGTAGGGACATGATCTAACCCAGTGGGGACACAAATTCCCCAGGACAGAATATCACATTTTAATTAACGTCTGCCATAATCCGTGCAGTATACCACAAGATGATTCAGGAAATCTCATCAGTTTTTACACAGATGAGGTGAGAAACATTAGTATGTTATCAATAAAATGAGATAAGAATATGTCGGTGCACAGCAGACTTTCTACCCTCGACCCCTCAGCCCAATCCCCCCCTTGGTTTAAATGACTGAAGCCTACTCTAATGGAGAAACCAGAGGATATGAGTAGTCAGACAGAGGAAACCTGTACCTCATTCAGGCATTTCCATGGAACATATGATTATGTATGAAGAGATATATTGTGTATGACTGTGGGGTTGGGTGATTGGGACTTGTTAATTCAAAAAGACCTTTTTTTAACCAGATATGTGTGTGTTTGTCTTGTTTTTCTCACCTTCTCCTCTTCCGTACTTAGCGGAGGGTGACCAGGACTCAGCGTCCATGAAACCGAGCTCTCTGCACACCACCTGGGCAGCATATATGGAGAAGTCATCATCGCACACTGTGCCCCACTCTCCATTGTAGAAAACCTCCACTCGCCCTTCGTAGTGTTTGCGCTTCTCCCCAGCTAGACGTAGCTGGATTATAGGGCCTGACTGGGCATCGCACAAGATCAGCAAAGAAAATAACAGGGCACAGTGGATGGCAATTGGATGCAGCATGGTGTGAAGGAATGGATGAAAATGCCGAAATCTGACAGAAGACAGAGAGCAAAAAGCATTAGCAGTGGTGACTGATGCTGCAGTGCTGCAAATGGTTTGAGAAACACCACGGAATAAAACAGGCAAATGTATCCAGACTTAAGGTCTAGATACGTTTGCTGACTTATCTAACGCAAATATGGTCACAAAGACTTTATATAAATGACCTTACTAATAAAATCAAGTGACCTATAGACAACAGAAATTATACACACAAAAAGCTGAAAAAAAGCAAAGCACTAAGACAAATGCTATTAGATGCATTTAGTCAAACAACTAGAGTTTTTTTTTAAAATTTGAGCCACAGAACTCACACAGGGTTTAACTTTATGAATGAGTCATTGGTACCAACCTGATGACCTCAATCTTTGAGTGGTAATAACTTTCTGCTATCTGTTATCTTAAGGAAACAGATTTCAAGTGTGAACACACCCAAAAACTGATGTGGACAATAATGCAATAAAAACATGTGTTCATTTTGGCAGAACATTTCAGAGATGGATGAATTCTCATTGGTATCTGCTGCATATAAAACAAGTTTGTCTTTCCATGCTTGCGATGAGAACACAAACAAAAATCTCAAATATGTAAAACACCTGGGGATAAAATAGAAAAACAATGAACTGTTTCTCCACGGACCAAACTTATACAGATTTAACTGTGAGTTGAGTTTTCTCTGAAGACATGGAAGGTACTGTGCAGTACTAACAGCTATTTGTGGTGAACTATGGTCCCTTATTTGACCAGTGAGTGGTTACAGAAAAAATTTGATTTGGCCATCATCATACTTTCATAAGCCCCCCTCACTGGCCCCTGTACAACTACGAGAATCACTGACACATAGTGAAAAAACAGTGGGCTGCCAAAGAGGGAGGAAAGGGATCACAGTTTCAGAATATTTGGAATAAAAGTTAAGGTTTCTGGTTTGCTTCTGAGAAGAGGATTACACTCTATGATTTTTTTGACAGCCTAATAGGGAGCAAATATGGTCTTCACAAGGTGGAGAGATGCCCTTCGTTTGTTTATCTCCTGATCTGTGCCTGCAGGCTGGAGGACTGAGGCTTTAACTCCACCCTGATATTTCATGGCAGACCATGAAAGTGTCAAACAGGAGGGACCAGAAGCCCCCAGGGTGGAATGTTAGCGGAGAAGAAGGAGGGGAGGAAGACAGTGAAAGTAAGAAGACCTCCATGTGTGGAGTGTGTGGAAGCGGGTGGTGGGTGTGGGTGAGGGGGGGATTTCCTAGTTGACGTCATAGTAACAGCCAACACACTGCAAAGTAAAAACGCTTAAAACTCTGCAGGAACAGACACTTTTTGTTAAATGGTAAGACATCACTTGTGATTTTTTTCCCATGATGAAGTTCAACAGAAGCAGTCTTTGTATTTGAGACCTAATTTAACACAAATAGTTTAAAAAAGGACTCCACCAATTCTCTCAGGAAAACATATAGTTGAACAAACATCTGTTCTGTGTTTCCTCTCTTTCAACTACACATAATAGTAGGGTCTTTTAAAATTCTCTGTGGCGTATGATCTATACATAGTTCCGACAAAACCAACAGAGACACACCCACTTCATATAGAGACACATGTGGGCTTGTATTAGGGCTGAACAATGTCTAGGAAACCCATCCTGTTAAATTACTTTCTACAGTCAAAGTCAACCGTTTTTATAGTGGTATTCTTGACCAATCCCCATCCAAATATTCTCTTTTTTAAAATAGTTGTGCATGCATCTGAAGAACCCTGACTGTATGCGTCCAATGAAACAACAACAGAACTTGATGTAGAAGTCATCCAGCATCAAGCTAATAGCTCATTCTGAAACTTTGGTGTCTTTTGGTGTTAAGTGTTAAAATTCACCTGAAAAGCTATAAAAGCAAAATACAAACCCCAAAAAACAAAACTTTTATCTCTCTATAGTCCATGTACGGCAGGGGGAAAGACATGAATGACACCGATTCATTGAAGATCATATCCAATTTAGAATGAAAATCCCCACATTCCTGCATGTGCAACACATCAGCCAATCGGCAACAGACCGACCAAGTCCTTATGCAGTTAAAAGAAGAAGAACTTACTGTGCAGTGGAGCTTCTGTCCAAAACTCTGAGCTTTGGATGATGAGATAGATGTGGAGCACTGTGTTTTTACACCTGTAGTGTGTTCTCTCTCTCTCTCTCTCTCTCTCTCCCTCTCTCTTTGTCTCGTCTCGCCCCCTGTTACAGCTGGCAGCAGCAGCAGCTACAGGTCCCACTCCTCACCACTGCTAACAGCCAATAAACGGCTGCCTCAGCATCCTGGACCCACCCCCTCTCGGTCTTCAGGGTTAAAACAACATGGACTGTGGTGAGAGTCTCTCCACACGGTGCAATACTCCCCTCATGTGCAGTTGTTAAAAAAAGTATTTCCACTGAAGCAAGGTATTTTTGAAAGCACATTTCTGAACACACTTCTTTGACTTACAGCACACAGACCTAGACTTCCATCTCAAGAAATACACTTTTGACTCAAATAAAATTAGTTATTAGATTTGTGGATGTGCTAAAATAGAACATAGAGATAGTTTGTGTAAAAGCTGAGGAGATAGGGGATAGGTAGAGATGGAGGCAGTTGATCCATAGTGGAAATTGTTTAAGAGAAGAGCTGAAAGAAGAGGAAGAAAGAGAAGAAAAAGAACAGACCTTTTAGTAAAAGTAGTGGTGTCAGTTTAACACATTGTCTGTGAATAACCTAATAACATTTTTTAAAACTCCAGAAATAACTTATAGAAAATGCCACCTTTATCACTGCTTAAGCAGTAATTAATGAAATAAAAACCTGAAACAAAAGCAGTGGACTGCACTGTGATTTTGTGACAATGAGTCTGTCATTCTCTAATATCTTTACAACTAAATGTAACTCATAACTAAATTTGTAAATTTGTTAAAAAACGTAATACTTTATTAAATACTAACTTTAGATTATAAAACCCCTTATGTATAATTTTAACCATTGGCATGATAGCGATGGTTTTTCTTTTTTCTTTTAATTTTTTTGTGTCTGAACTTTGTGTCATATTACGTAAAAACTAAAAACATTTTACAAACATATTTGTAAGATTATTTTTCAAACATTTATCTTTTCTTCCACTTTTCTCATAAAATTAGGACATTTAAAAAAAGATTTTTAGAAAAAAAAAAATGAAATATTTGGTCAAAATGTGAACTTTTTGTTTCATTTCTGGCCAGATTATAATAAACTTTGACCAAAATGTTTGTAAAATTATTTTTCAAAATTTCCTAAATGTTTCTCATCAAATTAGAGCATTTAGAGAACATTTTTAGAAATATATTTTTATAGACTTTTTTGTTGAATCTGAACTTTGTCATTTTTGGCCAAAAAATAAAAAAGCTTGACAAAAATATTTGTAAGATTATCTTTCAAAAATGTATCTTTTCTTGCACATCTCAAAATCCAGGCATTTAAAAAAACTTTGTGTCATTTTTAATGACACTTATGGTCAAAAAGTTAACTTTGTGTCATTTTTGGTCAAAAACTAAAAAATTGACAAAAAAATAACCACAAACATTTGTGTCTATAGCCTTAGCATCGTGAAAAATCCAAAAAATAAAAAGTCCCAGAAATGCCTTAAAATGCAAGATTGTCCTAAAACATGCTGCCCAGTGAATATTTTGTGTTTTACTCCAAAAATATTATATGAATATTTAAAAAATCACCAAAAACATGCTTTACTATAGCCTTACCATCGTGAAAAAATCCCAAAAAATAAAAAGAGTCACATGGGGGCATCGACATGGCAGGAAGCGGGCAGGACCCAAATGCAGGACTGGTGCAGGTAGTTTATTTCAAAACTCAAAATTCCACAAACCAGGACAGAAGCATACGCAAAGTCGAGCAGAGCTGAGAACAGGAACAGACTTACCCAGTTACAGACAACGAACAGCTACAACAAAATGCTGGACACACCGACGATACACAGACGATACAGAGCACGCCAAGACAGCAAACACACACTCACAATGAGCCCACAAGGCCAAGGAGCACCAGGTGACACAAGTGAGGCTAATTACATACAGGTGAATGTGATAACACAGATTACCCCACACAAAAACATGCCTTGCCATTGTGAAAAAAATCCAAAAAAATAAAAAGTCCCAGAAATGCATTAAAATGCAATAATAGGTCCTAAAACATGCTGCCAAGTGATTATTTTGTGTTTTAAACTCCAAAAAGTATTTTTTATGAATATTTCAAAAATCACACAAAACACGCCTTACTATAGCCTTACCATCGTGAAAAAATCCAAAAAAAATAAAAAGTGTCACATGGGGGCATCGACATGGCAGGAAGCAGGCAGGACCCAAATGCAGGACTGGTGCAGGTAATTTATTTCAAAACTCAAAATTCCACAAACCAGGACAGAAGCATACGCAAAGTCGAGCAGAGCTGAGAACAGGAACAGACTTGCCCAGGAACAGACAACGAACAGCTACAACAAAATGCTCGACACACCGACGATACACAGATACAGATACACAGAGCACGCCAAGACAGCAAACACACACTCACAATGAGCCCACAAGGCCAAGGAGCACCAGGTGACACAAGTGAGGCTAATTACATACAGGTGAATGTGATAACACAGATTACCCCACACAAAAACACGCCTTACTATAGCCTTACCATCGTGAAAAAATCCAAAAAAAAAGTCCCAGAAATGCCTTAAAATGCAAGATTGTGTACTGAAACATGCTGCCAAGTGAATATTTTGTGTTTAAAACTCAAGAAATATGAATATATGAATATATATGTATATATATATTTGAATATTTCATATTTCAAATATTTTGCCTTACCATCGTAAAAAAAGTAAAAATATTCATTTTTCAAAAAAGTTTCAGAATTTTTTTAAAAAAACAATTCATTTTTTTTAGAAAATGTTTAAGAAATTGTGGCGCTTTGGCCCAGAGCCAATGTCTCTGTCATTGGTGTGGAACCCCAGGGTTCACCTCCTGGACAAGTTCAAATCCCAGTTAGGGCGGTTAATACCTTCCAGTGGACTCACCACCTGCAGGAAGGTTTAAGGGGGGTTGGTACGGTGCAGTGTGATTTGGGTGGCGACTGCTGCCCCCGCGACCCGGTAACGGATAAGCGGAGGAAAATGGATGGATGGATGGATGGTTTAAGAAATTTTTTTTTTCAGAAAATTATTAGAAAAAAAAAATTTAAAAGTTTTTCTAAAAAAATGTCTGAAAATTTTTTATCTAAAAATATTTTCAATATTTTGAAAAATATTTAAAAAATTTTTTTTCAGAAAATTTTTAGAAAAAATCTTTTTTTCTAAAAAAAATTTTCCTTTTCAGAAAATTTTTAGAAAAAAAAAATTTTCTTTTCAGAAAATGTTTAGGAAAATTTTTTTTTCAGAAAATTATTAGAAAAAAAAATTCTGAAAAAATAATTTCTAAAAAAAAGTTTCTAAAAAATTTTCTGAAATTTTTTTTTGAAAAATATTTTAT